GGGTTTCTCCAGTCTCTTTCAGGCCAGTAAACCTGGTCTTTTTCGTGTGTGTTAGAATTTTTTCTACATCCTTCTCCAGCTCTATCCAGAACCCTTTGTTGTGATCCCGATCAGAGTAGTCAGAGGCGGTAGCCAGGTACCATCTAGCTGTACTGGACTCAGTCTGGTGGACGCCTTGGTAGCTGTGGACAATTAGTCCTTTGGACTAATCTTTTCCTTGTATCTTGTTCTCTTCATTCTCCCTTGCTCCCGAAGGGGTGAGACCAGTGGAGTATCTTAGAAGGCTGCTCACAGGCTTTTAAGACCCCAGACGCTACTCACCAAGGTAGAATGTAGAATATTCTCTTTATACACTGTGTTATGCCAATTTAGCTAGATGATCTCCGAGACCATGGTCCCGACGGCCCTCCGCCCAGCCATTCAGTCCCTCAGGGAGTTTGGATGTGTCTGTGGAGCTTCCATGACCTTTCCTTGTACAAGTTGTGCTGGTTTCCCCTGTATTGTGTACTGTCTCACCCTTCACCACAGACACCACTTATCTATTGCCTATTTAGTATTTCACCCCACCCCTCCCATCCCTGGTAACCAACAAAGATTGTTACTTTTTGTGTGTGAACTTTTTGGTTATTTTTCTTAAGTAATAGAGCTGTTACCTAAGTCAACATTCTCTACATTAACCAACTGATACGAAACTACTAAATACTGAAAATAAATACCAAGTTATACCTTAGGAAGCATACAAAATCAAGGATTTTCAGACACAAAGCTCTGTATACAACATAGCATAGCGAGGGGTCATGATCTGTCTGTGTGGATGAAATCTAGGCCTGCTGTTTACTTGCAGTGAGAACCTGTAAGCCAGCTCAGTGTCTTGCCAGTGAGCTGACAAACACATATCTTGAGAAGACGGGAAGCTGTAGGAATTTTAGGATCTTCACATCTAACAAATATTTTTCTCCTTATATGTACTGTAGTTCCACTGTCCATTTTCTTTTCTCTTACCATCACATTTAGAGATTTGTTATAGCCATCTTCATCTTTCCTCTCTTCCCTTCCAAGAAATCAAGTAAGTCCTTAATTTGAGCAAAAGTCCTCGCCTCTTCACCTCTTGAAGTTATCAAAATCACATATCTGACTGTGAGTCAAGAGTTCTGGCTACTAATCCCTCTTCTTGTCACCAGCTGCTCTATGACCTTAAGCAAGTGGTTCACTCTCATCCTAAGTAACCTCAAAGAGAAAGGATTGAATTTAAGTGACTGAAAGATTCTTGTCACCCTAGCCATGAAAACCCACTAAGGTAGAGCACCAGTTTTCGCCATTTCCTTTTTCCTGATTTATCAACATAGAATGTAGTCCTATAAATGTCAATGTGTTTTTCCTTTAGGCTGTGAAATTTGAGCCATACCATGACAGTGCCCTTGCCAGATTTCTGCTGAAGCGTGGTTTAAGAGTAAGTACTTGCATTTTGATAATAGTATGACATTTCAAAAGTTAGCAAGAATAGACTGATAGACCTAGAGCAATAGTCATAATAATTTCAACCTTCTTGTTCCCACTTTCAGAACAAAAGAATCGGTCATTTCTTGTTTTGGTTCTTGAGAAGTGAGATAGCCCAGTCCAGGCACTATCAACAGAGATTTGCCGTGATCCTGGAAGCTTATCTGAGGGGCTGTGGGACTGCCATGCTGCACGACTTTACACAACAAGTCCAAGTAATCGAGATGTTACAAAAAGTCACCATTGATATTAAATCACTTTCTGTTGAAAAGTATGACGTCAGTTCCCAAGGTACAGTTCCTACATTTCCTTGGTTCTCTTTACAAATGCCTTTAACTCCAAATGCTGTTGTCCCTATGAGTCTCTTCCCTCTGAAAGACAAGTTGCGTTTTCCTAAAGGCAGCCAAGAACACATTTTTAAATCTTCGGTCTACATGCAGTGAGCACATTTAAAGTTCTCCTTTACAAGTTAATAATTTATATAATTTATCTGTATGTATTTTTAATGATGAAGTTGTAATAACAGATATGAAGCTCTTTGAAAAATTTTAAAATATTATGCAAATGTAAGGTAGATTTTTTTTTTTAAGAACAATTGTACCCCCACCAAAAAAAAAAAAAAATTAGGTATTTCCAAATCCGTATGTTTTTCTCTCCATCTTTGAATATATGCATACAGTTTTCAACTGTTTAGTCTTTAAAAGTCATGAATTATTGAGAAGTATTTTAAATTTTTTGCATTTCTTCATGCGTGTGTGCGTGTGATATATATATATTATCATCTCCTCTGAAGCTATTTCCAATATCCTCTTCCTGTCCCTACCCTAGGAAAATTAATTACTCCTGTGCATTCCCATAGTTTTTGGCTGACACTACATTTGTATATTACTACATTAAACTATGTAGTTCATACTATATTTACTATGTAGTCATTAGTACATCTTTCTTATCTGTTAAACTATATGAGCCTTGAAGTCAGGGGATGTCTCTTATTCACTTTTATATACCTAGACCTAGCACTATGGCTCATAATGGATGGACACTTACTAAAATACTCAGCCAGTATTTTAAACTTCTGAATATTTTAAATTTCTACATTTGCCCTTTGTTTCTTTTCCAGTACACCAATAATGCTCTCTCCTAAAAATAATAATGGTAATAATAATCTTACTTACTTTTGTTTCTATTATAAGTAAGAAACGGAAATTTTTGCACTGGCCTTCATAGAGTAATTTTTAATCTAAGGATTTCACCTTTAGAATTTTGCGGCTGTCATATCTTCATGAAACTTAAATTCCTCTTTTGAAAAAAACTTAAAGAAATGCAGCCCAACTCCATGTAATATTGTCTTCAAATATCTGTTTCCCAAATCAGATGGCAGTTCAAAGTTTCACATGTTGTAATGAAAACTACAGCATTAATTCTTTAGCACTACCCTCAGAGCATCCTTGTCTACCTGACTGTATGGGGTCTGTATGCTATTTCACATATTTTCACATAGTTGTATCCCCCGTTGCAGTATTTGTACATAGTGACATTGCGCACACTAAGCCAACTTATCTTGCACCTCAAATGGTCAGTTAGTTCCTCAAAGGCAGCGACCTACCCTCTTTTCTCCTGTTCCACACCAGACCAAATGTACCGAATGCTATGAATAAATTAGTACTCAGTAAATGTTATAGATAATATTGATTTCTTGAACTCATATAACTTTTGTGTGCTTTTGACAATTACAGTTATTTCACAGCTTAAGCAAAAGCTTGAAAACCTGCAGAATTCTAATCTCCCTAAAAGCTTTAGAGTTCCATATGACCCTGGACTGAAAGCAGGAGCACTGGTGGTAGGTATCAGCTTGATGTCTCTGCATGGTCTTTATGGTGTAGAAATGTCTGTGCATGCTTTGATGGCCCAGAAGTTTAAAGGCTAACATTTATGTAGAGATGGGGACACTGAAGAGTCCAAGATGGACTTCTGTCAAGCCCTTCTCTAATCATTTGCCACTAAAGGCCTCAGTATGAGTAAACATCCCTTCCATTTTGTTTTAAATAAGCCTTATTGAGATATCATTTGTATGCCATAAAAATTTTCCATTTTAAGTGTACAGCTCCGTACATTTAAATGTATACAATCTTGTAATCACCACCACAATCAAGATATAGAACATTTCCAACACCGAAAAAGTTTCTTTGCAGTCAGTTTTTTTCTCCCAGATCCAGCCCCAAGCAACAGCTCTACTTTCTATCATATAATTTTGCCTTTTCTAGAATTTCATTAAGTGGAATCATACAATATGTAGTTTTTGTATCAGGCTTCCTTCATTTAGCCTACACTTTCAGATTCATCCATGTTGTATGTATCAGTAGTCTTCCTTTTTATGGTTGAGTAGTACCTGCGTTTACCTGTGTTTTATTGACTATACAAAGGCATTCAACTGTGTGAATCATAACAAATTATGGATAACACTGCAAAGAATGGGAATTCCAGAACACCATATTGTGCTCATGCAGAACCTCTACATAGATCAAGAGGCGGTCATTTGGGAACAGAACAATGGTATATAATGCATGGTTTAAAATTGGAAAAGGTGTGTGGCAGAGTTGTACTTTTTTACCTTACTTATTCAATCTGTATGCTAAACAAATAATCCGAGAAGCTGGGCTATATGAAGAAAAACGTGGCATCCGGGTTGAAGAAAAATTCATTAACAACCTAAGATAGGCAGATGACACGACCTTGATTGCCAAAAGTGAAGATACATCTGACCTGAAGCTCTTACTGATGAAGGTAAAAGACTACAGCCTTCAGTATGGATTATATGTGAACATAAAGAAAATGAAAATCCCTACAACTGCACGAATAAACATCATGATAAATGATGAGGATATTGAAGTTGTCAAGGATTTCATTCTTCTTGGATCAATAATCAATGCCCATAGAAGCAGCAGTCAAGAAACCAAACAACATATTGCATTGGGCGTATATGCTGCAAAAGACTTCTTTAAAGTACCAAAAAGCGAAGATGTCACTTTGATGACTAAGGTACGCCTGTCCCAATCCATGATATTGTCAGTTGCCTCATATGCATGTGAAAACTGGACAGTGAAGAAGACCTAAGAAGAACTGATGCATCTGAACTGTGGTGTTGGCGAAGAATGTTGAATATACTGTGGACTGCCAGGAGAATGAACAAATCTGTCTTGGAGGAGGTACAGCTAGAATGCTCATTAGAAGTGAGGATGGTGAGACTTTGTCTTGCTTACTTTCGACATGTCATCAGGAGGAACCAATCACTGGAGAAATATATCATGCTTGGTAAAGTAGAGGGTCAGCAAAAAAGAGGGAGACCCTCAATGAGATGGATTGACAGAGTGGCTGCAACAATGGGCAACATTTCATTTTGTTGTTATATATGAGGTCACTATGAGTCAGAGCCGACTCAATGGCACCTAACAACAGCAAGTACCCCATGTATGAATATACCACAATTTGTTTTCATTTACATTTTGAGTAAATACTTCGTGCAATAGCTTGGTCAGATGGCAAGTTTATGAGTGGCTATACAATTTACATTCCCACTAGCAATGTATGTAAGTTCCAAATCATTGAAAATAGTTTTTCAACTAGAACTTTGTCCTGGTTGTATATAGTGATGGTTTATATGAAGATTTGTGTCTCCACAAAGTATTTTCACTGTGTGTAGAAAACATGTGGCCACTTTCTTACAGATTGAAAAATGTAAAGTGATGGCCTCCAAGAAAAAGCCCCTGTGGCTTGAGTTTAAATGTGCTGACCCTACAGCTCTGTCAAAGGAAACAATTGGAATCATCTTTAAACATGGTGATGATCTGCGTCAAGATATGCTAATTTTACAGGTACACTGTTGTTAAGAACCTTTTTTTCCCCCCAATTATCTGAAAAAAGCATTCTGTATTAGATCTAAAAATACCTTCTACTGATTCTAGCTTCCTTTTTTGTATGACGAACAGGGATCAAAGATTACACAATAGAGAGTTTTCACTTGGGGAATATGGCTGTGGGCCATTAGATATGCAATCTGGTGAGCATCATAACTCTATCCATTCTGAGAAGATGCACATCCAACAGATATACTTACCTAACCTCTTTTTTACACACACCATTTCAAGTTTGGTAACAGAAAATAGACATATTTTCCCCCTGCACCCACTTTATCCATATTCATAGACATATCTACACAGCCATAGATACATCTCTCTTTAGATATACTTAACACATACACAGACTCATGTGAATGAAATGATGGGAAGGAGAGAAAAGAGGAGCAGGTAGGTGGATTGGAGAAGTCACACAGTTAACAATGAGACTTATGGATTACTAGCACAGAAGGTGAATGGTGAAGGTATCGATGCTAATTATTTTCATATTTTCTAACATTTCTGGGTAAACTTTAGCTTTGCAAATCTGTAAAGTAATAATCTCCATTTTCTAGTTTTTCAATGTATAAAGGTAACATATTTCTGCTGAACATATTTAATATATTTTAAATAAGCATATGATTTATTTAAAATAGGCCCTAGACAAAGCCCTTATAGATATATAAAATGTAGCGTATTTAAAAACTGATCATATTTTCAATTTTTCTGTTTCTGTTTTTATTTCTTTCTAATATGGAAACAACAGTACCCTTGCTTCCCTCCCCCGCCCCCAACAATGGTATATGTATTATCCAGAGGTATTTAGAATATCCTTCAGAACTTTTGAAAGTTTATTAAATTTCAAATAAATCTGTAGAACTTTTTTAATTATTTGAAGGTGAGCACCTCAAAAATGCAAAACAACACTATATAGTTCCTCTCATTTTGAGGGAAAATGTACTTGCCCGTTATGCGCTTCATCTTCTTATTGAGGCACAAAGCTTGGCAGCAAAGGGCAGGTTATTTAAGCTCTCTAAGTCTTCGTTTCTTCACCTACAGAATGTGGATGATAATCATATCCACATTACAGGGTGAATACACTTAGTAAATGTTAGCTATCATTATCAGTGTTATTGTTGCTTTGATTGTAGCTTAAGAGAGTAAAATTTAGTAAGGGTTTTAGAATGGAACATGTGGGTACATAGATGATGAAACAGGGCTAAAGCCTTACCCCAAAAGACACCCATTTATCCTTTTCCCCAAGGTTTAAAACTGGTACCAAAATTAACAGGCTCCCAAAGAAGGGGAACTTGAGTATTAGGATGATAAATGAAAGTAGCCATTACTTAGTAATTTATGTTTACTTACATGTCTTGTGTTATCAGATAGGGAAAAGTATATTAGATAAATATATATTTATAATGGAAATGCTTTGTGTTTTGATGCCCAGATTCTACGAATCATGGAATCCATTTGGGAGACTGAATCTTTGGACCTGTGCCTCCTGCCCTATGGTTGCATTTCAACTGGTGACAAAATAGGTATGTGGTTACCTCAGGAGATGAATACACCACTCAGCTAATTTAGAAAGATCATAATTACTTCAGTGTATGATCACAGTCCATATAAAAAGGAAGAAAATATTCCAAGGCTGGTGGATGTGTCTCTAAATTTAATATGGATATGTTGAAATTACATGAATACATGATTCAAATCCTTGTGACTATACATGGAAAAGATTTTGTAAAAACTTGTTCCCTCCTCTTCTCCACCTCTAAACTTTAATTCAAGTTTCAATGCACCTTAAACTTCTCTCTCACCAAATAACATTTAAAAATAGATGGAAAGATCTGTCACTTATTGTAATATCCCAGAATTCACATTATCAAAGCTATTGCACACTCTACTCTTAGGTGCTTTTATAGACATTTAACATTTTAGTTTCAATCAAACATATTTTTATTCAAGTTTCTGATTTGAGAACTGTACAAAACCATTTACATTTGACCCTGTAATGTATAAAAGGAAAAAGAACAGATTGCCAAGTGAGGAAGGATATGCTCGGCATGTAAATGCTTTTATTTATTATCATTGAAAGACAACTCTTTCCTTTTTCAATTCAGGGATATTGAAAAAAGCATGTTCCACACAACTTCCATATCCCCCCCTTTTCCTTCTCCCCCTCCTAAGAACAAAAAAAGCACAAACCTGGAAAACAGGCCTGTGATCAGAAAGCCCTCTCTCCTTCACTCAACAAAGAAATACCGTATTGTTACGCAAATAACACACGCCTTCTATGTTTGCCAACCGCACCCTTCCCCTGCAAGGTATTTTCATAAGCGCTGCCATGCCATTCCTCTTCCACATGTTGCTGTAAAAAAATCAGCATAGCACACATATGAAAATACCTTACAGGGGGAGTGCAGCTGACAAACAAACTTAGAACGTGCGCGTTATTTGTATAAAAATATGGTAGCCGTTCCTCCTCTGGGTCAGGCACTAGGCCCCAATCCACATCAAACTCTATGCATCCTCATGTAGGAATGATCGAGATCGTGAAAGACGCCACCACAATTGCCAAAATTCAGCAAAGCACTGTGGGCAACACGGGTGCATTTAAAGATGAAATCCTGAATCACTGGCTCAAAGAAAGGTGCCCTCTTGAAGAAAAGGTGAGCTCATGTGCTTTCCCACTCTAAAGGCTCCTTATAAGCTGTCATTTATATAGCAATAGTGGTTTCCCGTTTTCAAAGGATCTACCAGCGTCATGCCTCCTGACATGATGGTGAAGGCCTTACTTCTGAGGTTGTGGGGGTTGTTAGTTCTTTCCCTGCAGTGACATAGTATATGTGTAAAACAGAGGCGGTCAGTTCAGGACTCAATGACCATTTGCCTCTCCTATGATTATCAGGCATGCTTTGCATAAAATTTGGCTCTGTAAAATATTAGCACCTTTTATGGCTATCTATCTTTGTTGTTCAGCAGAAAATTTTAGTTACCCATGTATAAATTAGGAGCCCTGGTGGTGCAATAATTAAGCACTTGACCGCTAATCAAAAGGCCAACAGTTTGAACCCGCCAGCGGCTCTGCAAGAGTAAAGACCTGGCAGTCTGCTCCCATAAAGATTTCAGCCTAGGAAACCGATGGGGCAGTTCTACTCTGTCAGTAGGGTCGCTATGAGTTGGAATTGACTCAATGGCAAACAACAACAAAATGTATAAATTCTTTCCTACCTGGGAAAATACCACATACCCTATAATTTATAATTTACAACTGCACTGTAATCTAAATGGTAAATTATGGATGCTGAAAATGTCAGTTCCACCATCCTTCTGAAGTGCATATGCTGAATCCTTCACAAGCTGTGTGGTTAGGCTGTTTGGCTGTCATTTAAAGTTCTGCAACACAGGCTTAACACTTCTCATTCGTGTGGTTAACAGCCTTTTGGGGAGGAAATATAATTAGTAGCATTTATTAATCTGTTGTACACGTGGATTTGTGAACTCATGCATACTGTAAGTGGTCACAAGCAAAACATACCATCACCAATGAAGAAGTTATTGTGGGCTCGGTAGAGGTGCTGGCAAGTGATGCATGGAGAGGAAGCAAACCTTTGATTAAATTACCGTTGCCCTTTGACTCGGGTTTTCTCCTTGTGCTTTCGTGATGTATTGGATCTTCACCTAAAATGTAAGCAGAGCAATGAGAAAGCTGGCACTTAATTAACAGAAATAACACTAAATGAAATCGAGCATTGCTCTTGCTCTTTGAAAATGGTTTCCAGAACACTGTCTTTTGGGGAGTAATTTATAATAGATTCATGCTGCTCTTTGTAGATAAAACACAATTAATATTCAGATGCATTTTAATTAGTTTCAGGCAGCAGTGGAGAGATTTGTTTATTCCTGTGCTGGCTACTGTGTGGCAACCTTTGTCCTTGGAATAGGAGACAGGCACAACGACAATATTATGATCACGGAGACAGGTGAGTTTATTTGTGGCATAGTGATATTTAAATGGAGTTCAAGGCTGGAGCATGTCGTTAGAAGTCATTACTAGGAAGGGGCACAGATAATGTGATCACCCTAGAGAGACCGTCCACCTTGAAGACCAGGGAGTGGGTAAGGGAAAAAGAGGCAGCAAATGAGACTTAGGAATGAACAGTCAGAGAGAGAGCAAAAACAAAAAAAACTGGGAAAAGGTGATATTTCAGAAGCTAAGGAAGAGGGGAGTGATCAACATCAGATTTGCAGAGAAGCAACAAAAATACCTTGCAGATATTCTTAAATCTGACCCACCCCTCACTGGTTCACTGTCCGCACTGACAGTGGTCAGTATGGGCCACCAAACCATGAGATTTTTCTCTATAAAATTTGGGTCGGTTTAAGAGTAGAATCTGGAAAAAGCATTAAATTGAGGCAAATCATTTACTCTATGTGAGAACCAAAAGAGATAACACATGAGAGGGTCTTAGGCATAATGATGACAGATTAGCCAGAGAGTCTGATTTATGTTTCTAAGAATGATTCTGAGAATTTGTTAATGGCATTTGGCTGTCATGTAAAGAACACCCAAAGACTATCAAAAACACATTTGGTTCAAAGAGGGCTCTGTGAGTACTACTTTCACACACCTGCTCAGACAAAAAGTATCAGAAGCTGATGAACAATGTTAAAAATAGCTGTCTTGCCCAAGATAGCTCATTTTCGGGCAACTTAGAAACTACTTCAAGAAGTAAACATACCAGAGTGTCGTTACAAGCACTTATGCCAGCGTAATGATGTCAAACATTTTCTTCTCTTAAGGAAATCTATTTCATATTGACTTTGGGCACATTCTTGGGAATTACAAAAGTTTTCTGGGCATTAATAAGGAGAGAGTGCCGTTCGTGCTAACCCCAGACTTCCTGTTTGTGATGGGAACTTCTGGAAAGAAGACAAGCCCATACTTCCAGAAATTTCAGGTAAATTGCCTCCCTCTTCATCACCTACAGTGAACACCAACCAGGAGGCCGGAAAGTCTGCAGGGCATGTAGCCCTCACCTCTCATTCCACCTTGAGGCTGGCCTCGCCTCAGCACTCTGCTGGAATGGCAGACTCTACCTCCTCCCCCGTCTCGTACATTCCTTCCCCAAGTGCAAAACGACTCTTCTCAGTAATCCTCGTACCAGAACCAAACAGCAGCTAAAACTAATTCATAATCAGTGGGATTGCAGATGTTCTTAGTTGCTGTGGAGTCAGCTCGACTCATGGTGGCCCTAAGGGTTGCAGAGTAGAACCGCACTCCATAGGATTTTCAAGGTTGTGACCTTTCGGAAGCAGACTGCTTTCTTATGAAGTGCCTCTGGGTGGGTTCTAACTGCCAACCTTTCCCACAGTAGTGAAGTGCTTAACTATTTGCGCCACCCAGGGACTCCCAGTCAGTGAGACTGGCAAATAACACCAGGGTGACGCTGGTACTGAAGGGGGGCTTTAAGGAAGAGCTTCTGCGGAGCAGGTTTAGCCATTGAGTATTTATGCATTCAGGACATTGGCTACCAGGAAAAAAACAAAAACAAAAAAAACCCAAGCCTGTTGCTGTCGATTCCGACTCATAGCAACCCTATAGGACAGAGTAGAACTGCCCCATAGGATTTCCAAGGAGTGGCTGGTGGATTCAAACTGCCGACCTTTTGGGTAGCAGCCAAGCTGTTTAACCACTGTGCCACCAGGACTCTAGGACACTGGCAAGAAGACTCAAATTTTACCTAATTTTTTTTTAGGACTTGCATACAGTTTTGAGCTTCTCTTGATTTTTGCTACAGGTGTGTCTTTATCAAATTACTACCACAGGGAATTCTTACTGCATTGCCATATGCTTTTGTCATTTTTGTAAAGGATTGTCCCTTCTCTCATTTGAAATCTTGTCAGCTTGACCACAGGTTCTACAAAGCACTGAGGATCATCTTGCTTACCTGTAAACAAGCTCCTGCATGAGTCTACCCACCTTCCGGGGGGTGGGGGGGATGTTCAGATTCTTTTTCATTTCTTCTAGGTCTGCGTCCAGTTTTGACTACCAAATATTTCAAATACCCAAGGGGAACATTTTTCACACGTGCAAATTTAGTAACTTAAATGAACACAGTTCAGAAAAGTTGTACTTACTACCACAAATGCACCTATACAAACATAAATACAGGCAAAAAGTGATTGCTTCATATGTGCATTTGCCTTGGGTTCCGTTTAAACATGGTTTGGTTTGCACTCAGTATTTCAGGAACAAGTCTTGTCCTCAGACTCTTCGTAAGCCCCAGAGGCCTTGGGAGATAACATGGGCCTTCACGTTCAGTGGAACAGGAGCCGGGGCATATCGTTTTGAAACGTGTCTGCTCTTGTTTGCTCTCCTGTCTGATTCTTGGTTTGGTGATTACAAGATTTGCCTTCCCACAGTTCCAGTGGTGTTGTCAGAGAAACTGAGATCTCTGTGGCCAGATGGTTTTAGGATTTCAGACTATTTCCAGGTCTTGACACACTTCAGTCCTGTTTTTCTTTAAAGTTACAAATCACAACTTTTGACAACTTCCTGGAAGAGAAAAATGGTTCCATAAAAAGAAAACCCTGGAAGAATTTCATCATTCAAAGGGGGAAAAGCATTCAATGCTCTTCTCCAGGGGAGTGAGGTTCATCTGACCGGCTTAAGATAAACAGCAGTAACACTGCAATTTAAAGAATCAGACAAAAGCAAGGAATTACCGGGCTCTTCTGTTTCTGTATATATGTTCTCTTCCTTTTTTCCACTGGTTTTACCTAGAATGACTGCCCGTCTTTCCTGTTGCTGACAACATTCGCACATGCCCCTGTAGTGCCCATGTCACCCCTTAAAATCCCAGCAGTTCTTCCCCTTTAACGTTCTTTTTTTTTTTAAGTTCCAAAATATTCTTTAATGAAAAGATTTTTGGCATGGGGAAGCCTAGGAGAGGCTGCCTCCCCCTATAGGCAGCTTCCTGCAAGAAGCCTTTGTAGAGTTTATCCTCCTGGTCTGGGAGCATTTTCCCATCCTTTGTTACCAAAGCTTGTTTCTTATGCTGTTAAAACCTCTCACTAAAGCAACATCCAGATTGTGTGCGACACTAAAAACACACCTTTGTCAGTGTTGCTGTACGTGGAGACATCTATATTTTGCAGTGTTTCATACATTTTAAGTGCCTGTGAATATATGCACAATGAGCCTTAAACACAGATACAGCATAGCCTATAGCTGAAAGGATAGGCTTTGGAGCAGACAAGGAATTTGAATCCTGGTCCTACCACTTAATAGCTGTGTGTTTGGCACAAATCACTTAACCTTTTAGAACCTCAGTTTTCTCATCTGTAAAGTAGGAATAACACCTCCCTCATGTGGTTTTCTAGGGATTGTTTAAGTGGTATCAGTAAAATGCTTAGCCCACTCTCTAGACCACAGCAGACACTCAATAAACAGTAGTTTAAAGATATCACAATGGATCTTCAAACTTTGAAAACTTTTAAAGTCGAGAAACTCTTTTCGCAATGAAATCTTAGGCAGAACTGCAATATGTAAAACATGAAGAAGCAGCATTGTAGGTGGCTAAAGAGAGCAAATGGGGTCCAAAACTCTGCCTGTCCTGCCTCATTCCCTGTCCCCTCTTCTACATTCTTTCTCTGCCCATTCCCCCCATCTCTGCCCATTCCTCCCACCCTCCTCACTCAGCAGGAACCAAGCTGAACACCACACTATTAAATTATCTATATGCCAAGTTTATAAAGTTTCCAGCTTGATAAAGACAAGCAGCAAGCTTCTTCATTTGACTCAGACCTTGACATAACTTTTTTACATACTGCTAAGCCTTCCAGGAAGGCACTCTGGTGGTGCAGTGATTAAAGTGCTCAACTGCCAACCGAAAGGTCAGAAGTTTGAACCCATTAGCCACTCCGAGGGAGAAACACGTGGCAGTCTGCTTCTGTAAATCCTTAGAAACCCTATGGGGCAGTTCTGCTCTGTCCTATAGGGTTGCTATGAGTCTCCCTCATGAGACACACTGCTCGACAGCAGCAGGTTTTTGGAAGCCTGCCAGAAAGATTCTCTGTTCCTTAGTTTTATGTTTTCTTTTTGAGTTGAAGTTCTTCAGGATCAGGGACTACATCTTCTGTCAAACTTTCTGAATAGTGTCTCAGAATCTTGTATAATAGTATAATAAAGCTGTCATTTTTAGATAAGCTAAAGAATGTTGTATATATTTACATTTTGAATGAAAGATGCCCTCATCTGCAGTGATTCACTAATTCTGAAATGATAAGGTTAATGAATACATGCAGCATATTTGAAGAACCTGTTAGGAAGGCTGGAGAAAAGTTGATCTACTTTTTGTTAAGGGTGGGATAAGCCTTTTCCGCAAAGAATTAAAAACATGCCTAGCTAGCGGTCAGGGGATGGAGGATAGGGGAACTGAAAAAGAAAGGTTGCACTAAATCCCACCCTTCTTTCCAAGGTAGCTAATTCAGCACAGAGCCATATTCATCAATTATTTCTAGAATAGACGAGAGTTCAGGAACAAACTGTAATTAGACAAAAAGATACAAACAGGGCTTCAAACTGGTTCCTTCAAGTTCGAACCCCTGCTGAGAACTTTAATTTCCACCCCAGGTATACTGAATCAGAATCTACATTTTAACAAGATCAACAGGTGATTCTTATGTATAACTTCCTGGGAATTGTTAGAAATGCAAATTCTCTGAAAGGGTTGAACCAGAATGAACCAATTCGAACCCCTGGACACAAAACCAAGGCCCACCATCTGAACTCAAGAGTATCCGTTAGCCTTGTGGAACAGCATCCTACACAGGGTGCTAAGCTGATGATATATTTGGATGATAATGATTTTAATAAATTAATTCTTCTGAGAAAAGTCTCTCCCTACTGAACAGATGAAAAAGAAAACATGTTTTACCTACTACTTATTTACTTTAAGCCACTTTGTTTTAAATGTCAGTGAATAGTTATAGAGCATATATAACATACAAATACATTTATATCATTGGCCAATGAAATTCAGCTTCCTCTTTTATTTTCATCTAAGAATGTAGTTTTTTTCTAATATTAAAAACAAAGCCAGGAAAATATCTAAAATATCAGGAAGATATCAAAAAACCATTATTCCACCTTTCATGATGACACTGTCAACATTTTAGTGGTTTTCTGTTATGTATTTGGTCTTTTAGAAGGTTGTAAATAAATCAGACTTTGGTTAAAAACTGAATTTTAAGAAAAAGAGATAATGTTAGTCCCTAATTTAAAGCCATTCGGTGGCTTCCTGTATCACTTGGAATACAATCTAAAGGTCTAAACTTGGTCTGCAAGGCCCTGTGCACTGGGATCCTTGTCCCCTTCAGCCCCTCTGTTCCTTCATTTGCTGACTTCTTCCATCACAGTGGCACTCCTCCGCCTCTTCCATCATTCCAGCTGTTCCTCTGCTCAGGCCTTCTCCAGGAGTGCCCCTCATTGCCCTTTAGGCTTAAATGTCATCCCCAAAGCAGTCTTCTATATGAGGCCCCCTCCTGTTGTTCTTTGCCTATGCACGTTTGCTTCATAGCATCTATCATAGCATAGAACTATTTGTACTAGTTTGCTGTTTGTCTTTACCGTTTTCAGACTATAAGCTCTATGCACAAGGCCACATGGGACCTGTATCCCCACACCGGCCTGAGACATAGTAAGGTCTCAGTGGGTATTTGCTGAGTGAAGGAGTGAATGCTGGAGGGGCAGTTTCTGCAGAGGGTGGGAGTTGGATCGGTCTAGATCATCTTTAAGGCTTCTTCCTTCCCTGTGATATGCCATATATTATGAATTAATAAAACAGCAATTCATGTGCAGATTGGTCAACCACCATCACATGGAAGTTTATAAGCCTTCAAGATGCAGGCTGAATATCCATACATCAGAAAAGGAAGTATACCTTCTCCTTACTTATTGACTATCTCATTATCTGACATTTTGCACTTACAACAATAGTGAAAAATCTACTATCCAGCTATTTTATGCATTAACGATGTATGCCAAGGTGCAAGGTGAGAGTAACACTGACTGTAATGGTTAAGGTTATGTGTCATCTTGGCCGGACCATGATTCTCAGTAGTTTGGCAGTTATGTAACAATGCAGTCATCCTCCATTTTGTGATCCAATATGGTAATCCTCTATTTTTACATAATGCCAATTTTCACATAACAACCTGGTCTTTGGAACATAACCATGTTGATAAGTGAGGAGTGGGTGTAAACCTAATTATGAAACCTAATGGTTTTTTAAATGATGGAAATATTTGAATATCATATGGTCCCTATTCACATTCTTATAGAGATTTCCTTACAGACATAAACATTACATGATTTTCCTAATCAGAATAGTAACCCATGCCAAGGGAAATAGGACATGCACTGTTACTAATTGTGCATAAGTTCAATAGAGGACAGTTCTCAAAGAAACTGAACAGCTTGGTCTCATATGAACAAGCATTTTGAAGATATTGTTTGCACACAGTAGGAACTAAGCAAATGTGTATCAAATCAAGCTGAAGAAATACAGGGGCCAGAAAACACCTTTACAAGCACGTGTTTACAAAGCAGTTTGATGAGCATACTTAAAAGGCACTTACCCCTAGATGTCACTCTTAAGAAGCGTTTTACAGGAGGAAAGTCTAGAGCCCATTCATTGTGTTCTTTTAATTTAGGATGACTGTGGAAGTTTTCTTGCCAGTTCTATCAGGCCTTGCTGGTTGCCAATGCTGGCAGTCTCTCCATGCCAAGGTGTACCCAGGTCCCCAACCTGCAGGCTCGTCCCATGCCCAGTCTCTGTAACTCAGGAAGTTAAGAAACTTACTCAGCAAAAGTCCGTCTTTTCTGTGGTCTCCCTCTAACCTTGGATCCCAGATTGTTTGGCCTGCTTCTGCCGCAGTTCCTCCACCAGGGCCCCTGCTCCATCCTGCCTTTTTCGTTGCCGTTGCCGGAGACCCAGCCACAGGCACCACAGGGAACCTGTCACTCTTCTGAGGACTCCTCACCATGATTCCCCATTGCTCTTCTCTGTCTCCCTTTCCTTTGTGTCGTAGCCCTCATGCTTGTCTGTATCTGTAACTATTTAGACCTTTACCCTGCCAGGCTGGACTTTCTCAGCCTCCTACTCCATCATGTGTAGTCACCAAGCCCTGTCCTACCATATTCGAAATAGAACGCTAATTCAACACACATATATTAAATACATACTACATTTCAGGCACTGTATCAGGCACAAAGAAGGCCCAAGTACTGCCCTAGGCAAGGCAAGATGTCTTTGCAATTTAATCCCCTTCAAATACTAGTGTTCCTAATTCATCTTGAGTTTGAAGCAATGAATCTTGCTCAAGATTGAGCTTGACTTCTGAACATTAGCATCCATTCATCATATTTACCAATTATCTACAGTGTGCGAGGCACCGTGCTGGGTACAGGTGATGCACAGCAAAAGAGATGCACACACAGCTTTGTGCTAAGGGATACTTTGTGCTAAGAATTTCAACAAGAGTTTGCAGAGGGAGCAATTAGTCTTGCCCTGGGGGATAGAAAAGGGTTTTTCAGAGAAGGAAGTGTTTTTATCTGGGCCTTATAGGCTGAGTTCAGTTTTCATTTTGCCAGGCAGATGCAGGGAGGGGAAGGAACATCAAGGCAGAAAGAAGAGCATAAGCAAGGGACAGAGGTCGAAAGGTTCATGCGGTCAGTATTTAGGAAAAGTACAGCTGTCCAGTCAATGGAAGATACATGTATATGGGAGTGTGTAGTGGAATCTGAGTCAAAAAAGGAAATTTGGGTCCAAATTGAAGTAGTACGTGGTCTGGGTTAGGGGGACAGAGAGCAAAGCAGTCATTTGGAACTCAACCGGTCAATCACAAATTACAAGTAAAACCTGTGACAGCCAGAACTCAACGGCACTGCCTTGTTTTCTGGGGTGTTGTGCAAATTTTCTGCCTTTGACAAGGTGCAGTCTTACCAGTTTTCTGTTGCTTGTTTTAGTGGAAAATATTTGAGTTTTCCTTCTCTGACAGGTTTCCACCTTACACAGGTTCTGGCTTTAGCAGGTTTTACTGTAGGAGATGAGTTTATCTGTCACATTAACCATAACATACTAAGCTGAGAAAGGATTTCTTCTTGATATTTGTACCCTAGCCCACTAATTAGCCTGAGCTCAGTCTCCCCTATCTCTAGTCTGAAGACTCTCATCCTTCACCCTCTGTCCATGTTAACCATTGGGCAATGCCCTCTGGGAGGGGGCCTGCATCAGCCATTTGTAGGAGTCTCAATATGTTGGTGTGACATCTCCCCCAGACGCAGACTTGTGTGGGGTTATAGAATTGTCAGAACTTGGATAAGCTTGCCAAATGTAATCACTTTTCTGGAAAAGATAGGAATCTAAGACTGGAGAGGAGGCCTTGGATTGGATTATGTGTTAGTCCAGCATGATACAGGGTCACTCGGTGCCAAGACGTTAGATCACTATGACTTTTTAGCACTGATTGAGAATAATCTCGCAGCTGGCACCATTCCCTGACTGTTTAGTTTCTTCTAGAGAATTGCTTTGTCTACTATAAGAATATTACCAAGGACATTGTTCCCATGTTACAAAGTATACTCTATAAATAATCCTTTTGTAAAATTTCTCTCTGATCTTAGTTTCTAGAAAAGTTGTGTGTCTCCTAAGCAAATAGTTTTGTTTGTTTGTTAATCTTCTAAACACAGGATAAAGTGACCCGTTAGATTTTCATTTTGGCTAGAGAGATATTTGAAGACTGACCATAACAAGTATAGATAGGATTCGTGATGTACATTTTAAATTAGTCTCTTCCCCAAACCCATTGTGGATCCTTTCCTTTGTTCTTCCCTTTTGTTTTTCTACCCACTTCTAATTAATTTTGACTTCTGTATACCCAAATGATCCACCTTAAATCCTTTTTTGGAACAAAGTTGGAAGGTAAATACACACACACCTGCGTACAGGCTATTGAGAATATTTGACTAAAGTAGAACAGTTTAATTGTGGCTTTTAGGTTTCTGATGAACTTCTAGCTAAATATTTGAGAAGACAGCAGTATAGCTCTGTCTGTGGTACATGGGGCTAGTCTGAGAAACATTTTTAAAAAGCCCTTAAAGAATCCTAATTCAAACTCAGCAAATGCATGGCCAAGTATCAGACACATTCTTCTTCCAGATTTACCAGAAAGTGCCTCCTGCATTATTAGGTCTACTCATCAGTGATCTTCTCTATTTTGCCAAAACAACTTTTAAAGATATTGGCTAGCCAGTAAATTGATTGTTTATAAAAAATAAAAGCCTCTGCGTTGGACTGAAATATTATTTTTCTCCACTGTTTCCTTTCTCTAGCAGATGGAGGCAGCATTACCATTTAAGAAAAGCAAGTGGACAGGAACCCTTCTTTTCATTGAAGAATATTTGTGAATTTTTCTTCTCCTTCTCTCCCCTTAGCCCTAGAATCTTTCCCTGGAGTTTCGGTTTTATGGTACTGAGATTACTTTTTCATTTTTGTAGATATGTACAATAGTATTTCACTCCCTCTCCACTGCTAGATAAGAATGGAAGAGTTTGGGTTTTAAGAAAAAGTAAGCCGATTCCATATGATTTTGGATAATCTAAAGCAGCCACAGTTAATCAGTGTGTAGAAATTGGTAGATTGTGTATACAAAGTAATTTGTTTTCAGTTTACTGAATTGATAGTTGGGACAGTTAACAAATCAAGTCAGAATTTTGACCCTGAAATGGTGATGAATTCTTTTGTTCCTAAGATTTATGGGGGTGGTGCTTTGTAAAAACAAGCCTTTCTTTTGGTACTAGATGTCATAATTAAGCATTTGAATCAACTATCAAATTAAGAGCAGATGTACTATGTAGGCTCAATATATTTATTAGCTACCAATAGATAGTGTTCTACCTAATAACATATAAAGTTCCCCACACTCATTAACAAGTAGACTAAACCAAGTCCCTGAATCATACTCTTCCTCTACCCCCTTCTTCTCCACTTGAGAATATAAAGCCTTCGGCATGCAGTTAAGAGGGAGAGAATGAGGATGTTTGAGGCCAGTGTACTAGCAGCTCTGGCAGTGGAGAAAATTCTTTTGCTATAGCCAGTAACTTCTGTGTTTTCCCCTGAGCTCCTGGAGCCACATCCTCATAGTCCCTCACAGGCCTTTGGCTGAGGTGGCATAGTCAGGGCCCTCTCACAAACCCTGCGGCAAAGGGCAGAAATGAAACTTGCATGGCCTTCGCTGGCAGAGAGCTACTCAGCTGTGCCCCTGAAGAGAAGAGAACCAGCTGCAGATGTAGCCAGTGTGCTATATGCTTCCACTGGCTCACCCACCTATGTGGGCCAGCGTGAAAAGAACCCTCCCCTCGGCACTGGTTGGAGCAAGGCGTATCTCCCACTCTAACCGCCTCAACCCCCAGGTCTCTACTACCTAAGAGGACATTTTGGCCAGTGGTCTGGGTGGGAAGGTGACCTCCTCAATGTTTAGAAGTGTGTGTTCAATAATGCAACCTCTCATACTTTTAATAATAGTCAACATTTGCTTTACAAATATCTCATTTAAATCTCACCACAACCATATGAAATGGATATTTATTTTCATTCTACAGATGGGGAAACTGAGGTACAGAGAGGTTCAGTAACTTCTCCAGTGACATACAGCTTGTTAGTAATAAAACCAAGATTTGAATCCAAGCAGCTAGGCATGACTGTGTGCTGTTATCCACTGCTCCACACTGCCTTTTAAGCGAAGGATAATTCAATCTGTACCCAGTCTCTTAAGTCTGCGCAGCCAGTCAGAATTTGGACATTGTGTCTGCCTAGTGTGTGGCGTGCAATTAAATTTGGGGAGGAAGTTTCTTTCTCAAAGAAGCAACCCTTCTCTGTGAAAATCAGAGCTAACCAATAAATTAGAGCCAGCATAAATTCCTTATATGTGTGAGATGGCCTTCAAGAGAGGCAGGGCAGTTCCTTTCCTTGTTTGCTGCAGAGATGGGGGAATCAGTATGTCACGGTTCAATACGTATTTACTGAGCACCTATGGATTGGTGTTAAAGTAACTTAGCTTCACATTAATCTTCTGTCTTGAAAATTTTCTATTAAAAAGAATTTGACCACACTGTGGGCTCACACAGCAAGGGGTTTGCCTGAAGCCCACGGTGTACAGAAGGATAGAACATAATTGAAAATAAAAATGTACCTTAATTCAAAATCAAAAGGCATCCCTGTCTATGCCCTTGTGAAAATTGTGCAAGTTGGCCAATTAATGAGGCTGTTCCCTGGGGTGAAATCTGCACTTAGCCTGTGTAATTACCAAGAAACGAGAAGAGACCTAGGTGGGTCTTATGGATGAGCAAAAGAAAATGATTTCTGGGCCTAAGTGGAGTCATTAAGAATGCAAGAGCACTAATGTACTGGGTCCAGCAGCAGTGATGCCTGGGCCATAGCAGGAAAAGTCTGAGCAGACATTTGAGTCTCCTGCTTCATCATAAGCAGAGAGTAGATGCGGAGACAGTCTATCCTCCATGGTAGGGAAGGGAAGGACCAACACTGAAGGAGCCCTCCCTATGTGCCAGCCTTGTGCCAAGCATTTTATATTAATATTGTCTCACTTCATAGATGCCAGAATAGTCCAGTGGTTTTTGGGCTTGGAAAAGAAATTGTGGCCAAGGCGGGAAGAAAGAGCATGAGAACTTAAAGCCAATTGCTGGTGCTTTTCCTGAAGTACAGTCAACTTTGGTGGCCAGTGCTGCACGGTGCTTTAACACAGCACGTCCCAGCCCAGGCCCAAGCAGGACCCTGCTGCAGGCTCCATATGAAGGCAGTGCTGAGCCCCACCCTCTCTGCTCAAGGTCTCAATTCCCTACCACTGGCCTAGGTCCAGTCCCCACACCCATTTTGCCAGGTACGTTAACCTGTAGCTCTCAGCTGAGTTCTTGCCTCACCCTCTGACTTACATTTAGTCTTCCAGACTAATAGTGATGATAATACCAAGAGCTAATGTTAATAAAGCCCTTGCTACGTATTAGATCTTGGGAAAAGCATTCTGTGTGCTTTATCTTATGTAGTCCTCACAACAACCGTATGAAGTAGGCACCATCACTATCATTCCTCTCTCCTCTCCAGTTGCAGTCAAGTCGATTCTGACTCATGGCAACCCCATGTGTGTCAGAGTAGAATTGTGTTCTATACGGTTTTCAATAAATGATTTTTCAGAAGTAGATCGCCAGGATTTTCTTCTGGCACTACTGGGTAGACTCATACCTTCAGCCTTTTGGTTAGCAACCAAGCACATTAACCGTTTGCACCACCTGGGGACTCCCTCACTGTCATTAGCATCCCTTCACACGGATGAAGAAAAGGAAGTTAGATAATTTGCCTGACATCATAGAAGCTCCTAAGTGGCTGATCTGGGATAGCCCCGATCTGCCTGTCTCTGAGCTGCCTCGGACACCATGGGCAAACCACCTCTGGCTTTGACTGACTTAAGAACACCCTACCTTGGTGGAGGTCACAATCACCCATCTTACACAAACCTGCAGACAGAAACCAGAAATGCTAGTCAAATCTTGATACTCTCCCAGCATTCCTTCAACACTGGAAGGGGGCATGGGACCTAGTTATACTATCGTTATATATTCATCACCTTATTTATTAATTAAGATGCCAACGTCAAATCATGCTTTGTGGAAAAGAAGACATGGTATTGATACTTTTTAACTCAACCATAAACACTGAACATGAATTTCGTTTAAATAGTCATCACTTACTATATGGCAGGCATTGTGCTACACAATGAATCAGTCTCAAGAAGATCATGGTCTAGTGGAGTCAGATATTTAACCAAATACTTAAGAAGTGGATTGACTTACCTGTATAATGGCCTTGCTCCAAGACTTTTTGGGGAGGCATAAGCCATAGTTATTTTTTAAAGCCCTCTCTTTCACTCAATATTCAGAATTTGTATTAAAATTCCAAAGTTCTTTCAATAATTTTGAGAACAGACGGTGAAAAGCTAATTCATATTTTCTTATAATAGAACAAAGTGTAAAATAAAAATGCAAATGAACTAAATTTCAAATACAACATTTCCATCACTTCTTTGGATTGATTGCATCAGCTCTTGGCAAACATTATTTAGTCTTAAATAAAGCTTATTGATTACAGTACAGTGTTTAAAAACTGACTCATTCCTTTCAGAGCCCACAGAAATTTCCATTCTCAATTTCCTAGGAAAGAAATGGAATTAAAAAGGTAGAGTAATAAATGAGACTCATCTGTATCACTTATCCTTCCTTGAGCATGCTGTGGATATATGCAACTACAGTAAAGTACTTAAGAGATTATAAAAACAGTTTATGTTCTCACCAAGTTTTTTCATCTGAGGCAGGGCACCTACCTCATCTGTGATGGTTTCTTTTCATGGTATGTAAATTCCAACACAGCCCAGTGATCTTTGGCCCACTTAATTACTATAACTACGCTAACAGTATTTTCTCCTCCTCTATCCAGGATGTCTGTGCCAGGGCTTATCTAGCCCTTCGTCATCACACAAACCTACTGATCATCCTGTTCTCCATGATGCTGATGACTGGAATGCCCCAGTTAACAAGCAAAGAAGATATTGAATATATTCGAGATGCCCTAACAGTGGGGAAAAATGAGGAGGATGCTAAAAAGTATTTTCTTGATCAGATTGAAGTTTGCAGAGACAAAGGATGGACAGTGCAGTTTAACTGGTTCCTACATCTTGTTCTTGGTATCAAACACGGAGAGAAACATTCAGCCTAATATTTTGGGCTAGAATTAAAAACAAGTTACTATCCTAAAGCTTTAAATTAGCATGTCAGGCATTGAACTTGGATTTAAAATGTAATGGAACACTGAAAACTGGCACTTCAGAAGTATATCTCTTTTCCTAGCTGAACTCTCACTAGAGAAAAAAACTGTCATTGCTGATTGTTTGGTTAGGTAAAATTCAGTGCTTGGCTTATTTGCAGGTTTGATTTTTCTCTGTTTGTCTCAGTGATACTGGAGAATATTCTAAGTTAAATAGACTAATGACTTCCTTTTTGTGCCTGATGTTGTGACTATCGTATTAAATTGGGTGATTCTAGAAATGTTAGAATAATTGGTGACATCTATTTTCACTGGATTTTTGTTTACTCTCAATTTTGGTTATCCCTGTGTTTTGCGAGCTCTTTACAGAAAAAAATGCAGTTACTGTAACCTTTGTCTTGCTCCTTAAAAGATGCTTCCAAACATCCCCTCAGTGTCTACAGATGTTAAAAGCAAGAAAGGTTAGCTAGTCATTTCAATGTCTTTTGCAGTCAGGTTCTTTCACAGCGTACAACTGAGACGAACAAACCTAAAATGGAAAATCTGAACCTTTGTGCCTTTACCCTTCTCTGCTGGTCTGGTTCAGGATTATGAATGTGAAAAACAGATGAGACCATTTGTCTCAGCTCTGCCCACAAGAGCGAATTATCAGGTACAATTAGTGTAGCCTTCTCTAGCATGGGAAACAGGAAATAACTAAAAGGACTCATTTTCTGCCTTACATTTTCCACCCTCCCTTTCTCCCTGCCTCGTTTCTTTCTAGACTCCCACCCTTACACAGAGTTGTGAAATCTTCAAGGATACCTTTACCCTAGAACTCAAAAATTCCTTGAGGAAGAATTTCTCCTTTAGCATTACTGGAATTTTAGGTACTTGTTTATAAAGACATTTAGTAGAGTTTTTTAAAAGGATATTATTAAAGGAGATGTTCTAGAAGATACAAATTAGTTTTTAAATGCCTTAATTTTAAATTCTGGTCTGAGAGGTGTTTTCTTTTTCTTTTCTTAATTTTGTTTTCTTTCATTTTTAATGGAAGAAGATATTTAATATCTAAAAAGTACTCCAAGTTAGGAAAAACACTACTTGTCCTATCCACCTCTAGTTTAAAGAACTTTTAAAATTCAACACATTCTTCAGATGTCCTAAAAATAACTAACATGTCTTCTTTAAAGACTATTTTAATCTCTTAAATATTTTGCTATTTATGGTCAGTGTTGTTTAACCTTAGAGAAAGATCATTAAATTATTTATAAAACATTTTAAAATTACATATAGTTAATACTTTACATAGAAATAACTCCATGTGAAGGGTATCTAAGAGTTCAGATATAAATAGATGTTTAATTTTTATATTTTCTAAACAGATGCCTGTTTGACTTTGGTGTAGCCCAAACCTTGATTTTAGTGTATGCAGAAGCCCAGTGTATCTCAACCTTGACTGCAAATAACAATCACTAGGGACACTTTTAAAAAATACCCTTGCCTGAGACCCATCCCCAGATTATAATTTAATTGGTTTGGGATGGGGCCCAGAGAGCAGTATTTTTTTCTAATTCCCCCAGGTGATTCTCGTATGCAGCCAGGATGGGAAAGCCCTGCATGGGCGTAGGTCACACCACTTCCTTGCCCATCGAGGCTTTCCCCAGCTCATAACATGTCTAGCAAGAGTACCTCATTTTTGACAACTCGTCCTTTTAAAATCATGCTGCATCATCTCATACAGAGGATGAAATGTCTATTCCTCTCTGTAAATGGAGGGTAGATATTTTATGTCATTTTTAGACCAGCTATTCCCTACCATTCTTTTGAAGAAAGCAGGAAGAATGACGCTTTCTAGTTCAAAAGCGCATGTTTTCATTATTCTTATGAAGAATAGCCAAGCTCAGACCTTGTACAGATTCTACTTTTTATATGAATTGCTGAAACAGTCATCTTAATGACAGACAGTTTACAAGAGGAATGTATTTATATTTAGCTTATTGACATGTGTGCATATATATTTGGTCTTCAAATGAACAAGCTCTTTCGTTATGCTGATTGTATGTATCACACTGGGCTTGAGTCTTCCATATTCCATTGAAGACATAATTTCCAATCTATAGATTTGCAGATAAACATAAAGCACCTTTGTGTGCTTTCTTCCTTCATTCCCAGTGAATCACATGACCAAAAACTTTTATGCCTTTGCAAATGTTATGAACTAGGGTTATCCTGGGGATGATGGGGAGAGATTTTTGGAAACTACCCACAGTTCTATCTTCAATGCCAAAAAACAGAGATTACAAGTCAGATGATCCAGGTCAAAGCAAGTTTTATGTATGTATATTCAGGACCAGCTACATAATTTGTAGCATCCAATGTAAAGTGAAAATGGAGGGCTCCTCGTTCAAAAATTACTAAGAAGCGTAAGATGGCAACAGAAGAGCATTAAAGCAAACCTTCTGAGTGCAGGGCTCTGTGTGACCGCACAGGCCGCGCGCCTGTGAAGCCGGCCCGTGTGTATCTAAGTAATAGCTTTGGTGCTCAGTTTTGCACGTGCAGACCATGTCCGGATGGGTGCAGACAAAGTGCTCAGATCAAAATGTCATTTCTGTTCAAACTGAAATACCTCACCTCTATGGCTATATATTAGGACTTAAAATACTGGTCTCATTGCGTTTGGATTGGAACAACAGCCACTAAAAAAACAAAGCAGGTGTTTTAGACCTACCCCTGTATGTCTGCATCTGACTGGCTTTAGTGATACTTTGGTAGAAGTGGGGGGAGAAGAGACATTATAGATAAAAGATAAAAACTCCTAGAGAAAACTCCTGACTTTTAATAAATTAACTTTAGTAAATACATATTTTTCAAGAGATGAATTACCAAAAAAAAAAAAAAAAAAAGTCTCAACATAGGAATTCTGCAGCATAATTTGGGATGCTGTCCTGCATTAAATAATCTTGTGAAATAAGTAAAAAAATGAAATAAAAATTTAGAAATCAAGTGCATGAAGCAAATTCTGGTCTTTATTTGGTATGCTTGGCTCTGCTTGCCATGACTGTGAATTGAACTGCCAGTTACACTGTAAAGTATGAAGAAAACAACAAAAAAAGAAAATTTGGATTTTTAAGAGGCCTGCTGTCCTCTTTTCTATTTAGTCTGAACTAATGATTCTAGTCAATAAATTTGGTTCTAGGCCGGGGACCTTCATATTCTCAAAGATTAATTTTCAGGGTAGGTGCCTTGGGGGAGTCTAAAGTGCTGAGGGCCCACACGCCTGGTCTAAAGTACCTACTCAGAATACTGAGACAGACCTTCTTCTGGGTTGTCCAGTTCTCTCCACTTGCAAGTATTTTAATTACAAGTTGTTAAATGTAAAATTAAATAAAAGAAAAAAAAATCTGCCATCATGTATTCTGTTCACATCATTTAGTCTCTGACAGGCCAGTCATTCCTGAAAGTCACATTCTTTCTTTCAAGAAATCTTTACCAAGTATCTACTAACTACTAGACACTGCTAAATACTGGAGCTTAGAATATGGGCTAAGACTGGCCCAGACCTAGTCCTCACAGGGTTTATAATATGCTGGTAGTAGCCAACACTTCATAATGGGTGTCAATAACAAATGTTCTGTGGGGCCTTTTATAAGTAACCCTGTTTGATATTTTTTGCTGCTACCAAAAATATTTCATTGCATGAAAAAATGTGACAAAGTGCTAAAATTGTTACTACATAAAAAGATCCCATAATTCAATATGCAAAAGATAAATACCCAATTAGAAAATACTAAATTCACCAAAAAAAAAGAAATTCATGTAGCCAATAAGCATGTGACCAAAAAACCAAACCAAACCCGTTGCTGTCGAGTTGATTTCTGACTCACAGCGACACAGCAGAACTGCCCCATAGGGTTTCCAAGGAGCTGCTGGTGGATTCGAATTGCTGACCTTTTGGTTAGCAGCGAAGCACCTAACCACTGCGCCACTAGGGCTCCAAGCATATGACAGCAGACCACAAATCACTACTGATTAGACAAATGCAAATTAAAATCACTTAAGTTCCTTTCCACCATTAGATTAGCAAAGATTGGGGATGCCCAGAGTTGATAATAATGTGAGGGAAAGAGCACTTTATCACACTGTTGAAAACAATCCAAGCTGGCAAATTCATGCATGGTACTTTCACAAAATTTATCAAAATCAACAATGTATCAATTTTCTGACCCAGCAAGTCCACGTTCAGGAATTTATCCTTCAGAAATGATTGGACATGTGGGCAAAGATTTATATAAAAAATAGTTACTACGGCATTGTTTGGAATAACCAAAAACTGGAAACAACCTAAAAGTCCCTCAATAGAGAACTGTTAATTAAATCACAGTACAGCCATACAACGGGCTATAGTGCAGCCCTTGAAAAGATAAGGTAGATCAAAATGTATTGGTATACATGTAGATCTACGATACTGAGGAGTGAAAGAAGGTGGCTACAGGACAATATTGCAGTGCAATCATATTCAAGTTAAAGTGTAGGTTTATATATGTATTAGAATCTGGGAGGATATACACACACCAAATTGTTAATAGTGATTTTCCCCTTGTAT